CATAAATACGTATTTCCCTTTGTGAGGCTCCATCCTTCCCCCTTCTCTGCCTTCTCTCCAGGAAAGTGGAGACATTTACTATTTTGTGAGACCAGCAGATAGCAGCTCTGGTGATTTTCATAGTGTAATCTTGGGTGGTGGGTGTGCTGTGAAAGTTAAGACAATATTTTGGAGACACCTGTGTGCTGAGGCTGACTGCTCTGGGTTCCTGCCTGTTTTGTAAAGACTGCACTATGAAATGGCCTCCTGACTCTTATCCAGAGGGACGGAGCATGCACTTGAATATCGCTCAGATTCGGAAGGGGAACATCCTGACCTTGGGTTTTTGCTGTGTCCCTTCCAAACCCCATTTGTTCATTATCGGAAACCCCAGTGAACAGCTTCTCTGTTTGTCACAATCAGGGCTTGTTCTGCAGCCCAGGACAGCAGTCATCTGTATTGGCTTCCTGCAAGCCTGTTCCTGGCAGCTCTTGTTAATGGGAGTGTTCTCTTTCAGAGTAAACAGTGCAATCTGTACAAATGGGTTATTTGGGTTTACTTTGTTCATGAAATTGGTGTAAGCCAACTCAATACCTTTATGGGTTTGTTTTTCATACAAATCTGGTAAATTACATTGGAGGGTCTGTGGGTGCCTACTTTTTATCATGTCCTGCAGGCATGATGTGGCTGCCCCTCTTAGCCCCCACGCCCAGGAAGTCTCCTGTTACATTGATTATAACATCTCCATGCCAGCACAGAACCTCTGGAGAGTGGTGAGTAGTTAAAGGGAGGGGAGGAGCACATTGTTTCTGGAAGAAACAGCTGAGAAAAAATGACAGTCAAAATCTGTCTATTGTAGGAAATTGTAAATCGGGAATCTGATACCGATGTGTGGAAGACGATTCTGTCAGAAGTGAGATTTGTTCATGTGAACACCTCTGCAGTGCTAAAGGTAAGTGTTAGGTTTATCTGTCTAGATAAACCTGCTTTTTACATGTGACTTTTATAATCTCTGTGCCCCAAAAGACCCAACCCACATAAACCAAACATACAAATAAATAGACAGAAATAAAAAACCTGCTCAATTTGGTAAAGGGGAAAAAAAAGACAGTGTGTGTTTCAGGTGCTTGTACTGATTCCTCTTCAGCATGCAGAGCTATCCTGCTTCTCAGGAGGTCGTGATGACTGATTCTCGCGCACTGCCTCACAAATTGGTGCTGGGTCTGTGAGTTGTAGCTCATGGCACGTTCAACAGTTAAGAGTCTCATCACAGTGTTTGCCAGGATCACTGACCTTCCATCTGCAGCATTGGGTGGTGACTCTTCACATACTTTTTAGCAGTCCCTTTTTCCCATCCGCTGCTCATTTAGGGCCTAGCAGTTTCCAGCCCGAAATTCGAATTAGCAGGTTGTGAGACTGAAACATCTTTCACTTTCAGCTCAGTGGAGCATCACTACCCGAGTGGGGGTACCGGCAGCTGGAGGTGGTTGGAGAGAAGTTGTCGAAAGGCTACCATCAGAGCATGGTGTGGAATGTGGAGGAGCACAGATACGGGAAAAGTACGTGTTCACTAGATGGATTTCTGGGATGGAGGTCCTCCTGGTCGTAGAAAAGTATCGTGTTAATACATGAGGTGTGTGTTTTGCATGAAAGTATTTGCCTTCGTGGTATAAGAGAAACAAAACCTTCCCGTTGTGTTGGATATTTAACTATAGTAGGACCTGGGTGGAAGGTTCTTTTCCATGGGATTGCTTGTGCTGGGTACAGAGAGATGAGTGTGTTCTCAGGATGTTCTGGCCACACACAGCTAGAAATTAAGAGGTTTGAACAGCTTTTGAGTGGACTCTGACTCGACCGTGGTGTCCAGCCCCTTAAAAATTCCCTCAGAGGTCTCTTACCATCTGACTACTGCAGGGCCCCTGAGTGAAGAGCGGGGTTATAGCATGGGCTCATCCCTTAATTTCATGCTGTTACATTGCCCTTTCTGAAACATGCTGTTTTCTTCCAGGCCAAGAGCAGAAAGAAAGGGAAGTGGAGCTCCACTCTCCTACGCAGATGGACATCAGTAAAAACCTCAGCTTCATGGCCAAATTTGCAGAATTGCAGGTGAATATCTTCCCTGTTCCCTTTCTGTTGGCCTTGTCCTTTATTCTTCTGCTGAGCAGGAAACTAGACATTTCTGCAACCTCTGAGTCTGAAAAGTCATTGTTTATTCCTTGCTGATAGTTTAGCTTCCTCAATTAAGAAAAAAAATCTGAATGCCCTTAGAGGGGCTTTAGAAAACTGCTCAACTGTACTATTCAGTAAGGAATACATGAATGACTGTGTAAAAAATGAAAAGGAAGGAAGAGCTGTTAGGCATCCAGAATCTCTCTGAAACTGAGCCTTAATGTCTTTATATGTGAAATCAGTAGTGTTGATGCCCCTTACTAACATTTCAGAATTTTGCTAAGAAAAGTGCATATCATTAGAACAAAATAAAACCATTTTAATTATCAGTCCTTAGTACAAGAGATGAAAAATCTTTGCTTTCAAGTTAAGAGCTTAGATCTTTTAGCTGGAGCTGCTCATCCATCCTGGATTCCTCATTTGTGGCTTCCATTCTGTTTCCTTTGTTCTAGTGGAAGATACTAACATTGAAAAATGAAGATACGGAGCATAAATACAGCTCCTCTGCTCTGGACTGGATCACAATGGATACAAACATTGCCTACTGGCTCCACCCAACCTCTGGGGTAAGTCTGAAGATGAGTTAATGAGAGCCCATGGACCAAAGCAGGTCAGTGCTGAGGTGGGCTCCAGAAGTGAGGGTGAGAGCAGGGCTAGTGAGAGGTTGGTCCAAAGAGCTGGGCCAAAATGGGCTCTGCTGAATCCTAGGTTTTTCAAAGCAAATAATTCTTTCAGGGGGATGATTTTTTTTTTAACATGTGATACTGCCTTTACAATTATTTCTTTTAATGAAATCACTTCTTGCACTTTTTTTTTGAGGGAAAAAAACCTGCAATTTAGTAGTTACCATTGCTGATTCTGTTTAAAAGATGAGGAGTTCATCTTCAGTACTGTCTTTTAAATATGTCTTGCATTAAAAAAAAAATAAGAGCGTAAGAGCATCAAAGTTTATCAATCAGCTTGCTTTGTTCCAAAATCAGGAACAAAGGATCAGGAAAAATGAGGTTACTAGCCAGGTATATGCTGCATTTTTTTAATTTAGCAAGTATATGTGGGTAATGTTTGACCTTACCCAGAAGAACTGTGGCACGTTCCGCCTTCTGGCTCAGCCCATCTCATATCCTGCAGGCTCAGATCCACCTCATTGGGAATATCCTCATCTGGGCATCAGCTAACGTGGCTGCGCTGATCTACGTGTGTTTGTCACTGTGGTACCTGGTGCGGCGAAGGAGAAGAATTTACGACATTCCCGAAGGTCTGACTGTGATAGAGATGAGTTCTCTTGTTCTACTAGACTTTAATGGGGCCAGAGCCACATTTTTTTTTTGCAACTGTGTATTCAGCTACGGTAGCTTTTCCTGTGCAGCAGCTCTCAAACTTTTCATTTGGGACACACAGGCGTGTGGAGTGCGCCCTGTCCTGTCCAGCTAGACCTCATTGGGAATATCCTCATCTGGGCATCAGCTAACGTGGCTGCGCTGATCTACGTGTGTTTGTCACTGTGGTACCTGGTGCGGCGAAGGAGAAGAATTTACGACATTCCCGAAGGTCTGACTGTGATAGAGATGAGTTCTCTTGTTCTACTAGACTTTAATGGGGCCAGAGCCACATTTTTTTTGCAACTGTGTATTCAGCTACAGTAGCTTTTCCTGTGCAGCAGCTCTCGAACTTTTCATTTGGGACACATAGGCGTGTGGAGTGCGCCCTGTCCTGCCCAGCTAGAGACTGCCTATGGCCTTTGGAAAGGTGACCGTCATCTCATGAAACAGTATAGCAGCCAGCATCATATTTGAGTTATTCCTTGATAAAAACCATCTCTGGGCATTAGGTTTGGGCTGTACAGAGAACCTCTGTGACTGCTGTAAAGGAAATAGAGGGAGATATTGACTCTGTTGAGGGTATTTATTTTAGCTGTGCTCTTTCTGACAGAGGTGCCATCTCTGCTGCCTGTTTTCCGTGAGCTTTCTGGAAGTGCATCCCACTGTTATGGGGTGAAGCTGCTTCATTTTGGGATTGGTCTGTCCTGACAGGTGCTTCATAGAAGCGTGACATAGTTTAACCATTTCCTTCCATTGAGACATGTGCTCAAGTTAGTTAAGGGTCTTTTAACACAAAATAGAGAAAATACAAACCTTCAAGTAGGTTTTAGAGGCTTTACACTTCCGGGGTGGTGTTTTAAGGGTAGTGTTAAGATCAGAGTGCTCCCTTTGGCAGATGCGTGGCAGCTCTGGGTGTCAGCGGGGAGGATCTGCGTTGGCGGCTGGGCTGTGAATTACCTGCCCTTCTTCCTGATGGAGAAAACGGTCTCTACCTCCCTGCCCTCACGTTCCAGATTCTCCTGATTCCCGTCGTATTACAGCACCTCAGCAATCATCTCTGCAGGTACGTGGGCCATGACAGTTTTTTTAACAGAGCTGCACAAAACAAGTAGTGTGGGTCTTTCTTCCAGTGCTTGGCAAGTTATTGCAGAAAAGCAGTGTTTTTTTTCCCACCTCTTAGCAGTGTCTTTACTCCAGCATAGTTTGGCTACATTTTGGCATTTTTCTGTAGGAGAATGGGAGGGAAAAAGAAACGAAGAGGGCCCGCACTTTGATGTGACTTGCATTCTCGTTTTTCCTCTTTCTCTCCCCATTCCATCCCAGATCTCTGCTTTCCAAAAGCATGTTCAGCGCGTTCATTGTGGCCTGGTTCTCCTCGGTTTATCTTGTCTACTGCACGTTCAGCCCCGTGACCTACGGGGACCCGGCTCTGTCGGTCGCTGAGCTCCAGGATTTGCGCTGGAAGGACAGCTGGAACATCCTCATCCGAAAACAGTAACAGCCTCAGTTGCACTGGTGGTTGTGTTGCAGGCAAATGGAAATATCTCTTACGCAAAGCCAAGAGTTCAGTGTATAATTGAAATGTTACTGATGTTAAATAATTGTCATTAGTCCAGACTAATGTTCAGGGCTGCCTTGATCCTCTCCCCCACAAGGACCCTGTGATCAACCACTAGATTCACTCCAGGGAGAGTTTAGTGACTATTTTGCTACTCCTTAACCGGCCCTGGTAGCTCAGTGTTCAGGGAAGTGCCTCATGCTCAGTCATTTATCTAAAGTTTCATCCATTACAGAAATAAAACTAACAAACCTGGGTTGACCTTATACTGTTGAGTATAAAAACATCTCCAGAAATCTCTGGGTTACTTTCATTAAAACAACACAAACACACAAAACAGAACAGCTTTTATATAAAATGGTCATTTCTGCTCACTGTTGATTCATTTATTAGACAAAGCAAAACATCCACAGCCAACAGAGCCAGACTTTGGTTTTAGAAAACTAGCAAATGCAAAAAAGTTCCTCCTAATAACACTTCCCCCATTATTAGAGCTACTGTAAGCGCAGACTTACTTAGTGACAGAAAGATATAACATAGACATGTTTTAAAGGCCCAAGTGATGCTCCATTCCAGTTCTCCAGAAACTGCTGTGGTTCCCTCATCTGGGATATATTATAGAAATAGGGATATCACTTTTTATACTCCAGCCTCATCTGCTTTTTAGAAAACCAGAACATTCACGTTTAAAACTCTTCCAGTGTAAGGTAAGCATTCTGACTCTACTAGAGGGTGGGAAACATGTCCAGATAACTTCTTATAGTTTGTTCCATCAGGAGGGGCAATTCCCATCTTTCCCCTTTGCTGAGTTAACTACCCAGTTCTGTAAGTGGATGGATTCTGCCCAGCAGACCCTGCAACCAGCAGTACAGAAATGTCCTCGGTCACTAAGACTGACAAGGTCACGTTTCTTTTCTCCATGAGCAACTCAATCCAGCTGGAGCTCACTCTTCAGTAATGATGGAAAAGGGTACAGAAATGACAGCCTTGCCTACCGACAGTGCAGCAAGGCGCAGGGGCTTGGCAGGTACAGATTGGGAACCAGCCTCACTCTGCTTCTCAAGCCTGGCCTCGTGGTGAAGTGCAGGTTCCCTTTCGTCCTGGAGAGCCTGCGTTTCCCCTCCAGCTTGGGGAAGAGCTTCCTCTGCTGCTGTTCATGAGGTCGCACCTCCTGCTCCTCAGCTACAGGTGCGAGCGGAGGCTGCCCAGCGCTAGGTCCCGAAGAGCAGGGGTGGAGATGACTGGACCTGCTTAATTCCAGAGGGTCTGTGCTTGTCTTGGACACAGAGACACTTTTCCTTTTAGAAAATCAAAAGCAGCAGCAGGGAGCTAAGCTTCCTGCTAAGGAAGAGCAGCACTGGGGAAATGGGTTATCTCGTTAAACACCTGGTAGCGCTTAACTTTCAGGGGTGACTTCACAGCATTAGATGCCACTTTGAAAAATTGAAAAAAACAAGGCAAGTAGAACTGCCTGTAACCGCTTCAATGAATCATGTAATAGTGAGACATCCAAGAGAGAAAGGGGAGGGTTTTCTGCAGGGAGAGGGGCAGTAGTCCACCTTCTTCCTCTCCTTGCTGCGCGATGTTTCACACCGGTGTCCCCTCTGCTGCTGTGATCATTTAAAGGGCACTTCACAAAGCATTTTGTTAGTAGTTCTTCCTTCCCAAGGTTTCCTTGGGCACTGGTCTGGACCACGGGCAGCTCCGTCAGGCCCTGGCGGGTTAGTGAGGACGGCTGCTGGACTCCAGGTGCGAGCGCTTGCCGGCCGCGTTTCCGGCCCGCGGGCCCCGCGCCGCTCTCCGCCTGCTCCGGGAACGGGCGCTTGTAGCTGCGGCCGTGGCCGTTCACCGCCCCGCGCTGCCACTTGCAGATGTCACCGTTCAGGATGTCTTGAATGTGCTGCACAATGAGGTTTATAGCAACTGCAGAGAGAAACAGGGAGCGGAGGACACGTGTTCCTGGCTGAGCAACGCAAAAAGAAGGTGCGTCACCCAACCCTGGCCAACGCAAATGTATACATTAACAGCAGGCCCTTAAATGAACCCCTGGCTGCCTTGTGCAGCGAGGGCAGCCCTGGCTAGAGGCAAATGGCAACAGCAGCGCCCTGCTCTGCACCTCCTGCAGGCACAGCGTGTCCCAGCCCCTCGCAGACCTGGGCCAGGCTCTGGGCTCCCCTGTGTCCCTCTAGCACGGCCCTTTCGAGCACGCGGGTGGGCAGGGGTGCCCCACGCGTCGTCAGCCCCAAAGCCACCCCCAAAGGAGGGTTCCTCAGAGAGCTGAGCTCCCTTTTACCCATGTTGTCCACGCCGCGGGGGATGATCACATCCGCGTACTTCTTGGTCTGCAAAACAGAAATGGTGGCGGAGACGGTCACTGGCAAAAGTTAAATTCAAGGAAGAAACAAACAGACACCTGTGATCTAACAGCAAGGGTGGAGGAGGGTGTTTTTTTTTTTTTTTAATGTCCAAGTTAAAGTTTGCTCAAGTTAAAGCTTGCTCTCCTGGTAGTACCTAACTGAACTGACAAGCCACGCTGGGTAACACAGAGGGGATGTCCCCCTCTGCAGAGAATCACCAGGTAGAAGGCGGTGGGCACTTTTGACCAGGTAGCTCAGGTGAGACGTTGCATTTACACCGTTGAAACGGGCTGTCCATAGCGTGTAGCACAAGGGCTGCAAGGCTGAGCTCTGTTTGGTAAGAGGTGGCTCTAGCCAGCATTTCACAAGCCATTACTAAATCTCTGCTAAAAGCCAAGGCTCCCAACAGGCATGTGAAATTCCTTCCTGTCTCTGAGGACATTTTATTGATTTTTTTTGCCACCCGTTTTTTTTTTTTTCTTTTCCCCTCCCTAAATCAGTTAGCAAATTCAGCATTTTTCATGAATACCTTCACAATGCCAACACTGCCTTGACCCAGAACAAGAGAAGCCTGGGCTAGTCTGTATTCCACGTACAGAATCTTGTCCTCAAAGGATTTTACAAATTAATACAAGTATTTAAGCATCTCAAATGGCCTCACATTGTGCAGAGTAACAAGCAGACTGTATACTGATCTGGCCCAGGTTTCATCAGTATTCCTTGCTGAGAGAGAGTCTGCTGGAAATATACTTTTTTTCCCCAAAGTATGGGGGTGATTCAGTCAAAATCCTCATGCTAAAACAGCCATGGCAGTGAGGAGGTGTGTGCAGCCGCTGTGGATTATCACGGTGCTTCGCAAGCAGAAAGAACCAACCTGAAGTTCCTTAAGCAGCTTGTAGTGATTAATGAGATGGGGAAGAAGGGAAAGTGTGGGACTCTCGAAAGACTAATAACAAAAGCTACACTCACAGAACAGCCAATTTCCAAGCAACTCTTTCTCCTCTTGCAAAGAAAAAAAAAATCATCAAATTAATGATGATTAGTACCGGTAAGCAGAATTCCTCAAAGGCAGGTTTGACAAACGTCGTGTACTGAGTGAGGATCTGCTCCAGGTCCCTGCCACGTTTCATGTCTCGCAGAACTGGGACAGGAAAGAAAAAAAAAAGAAAAAAAAAGAAAAGGAAAAAAAAAAGTGAGTTTTCCCACGAATGCAGAGAGGGGCGAGGAGGAGCGAGCGCTGCCGGGAGCCGGGCGGCACCTCTGCGGGACAGCCTGACGTCCGAGTCCGTGTCCACAAAGAGCCGCAGGTGGAACATGTCCCTGATGTCCTGACTGTAGAAGACCAGGATCCCTTCAAACAGAACCACATCAGCTGGATAAACCACGGTCGTCTCTTCCAGCCTGCCGGGGAAGGAAACAAAAACAGAGCACTTGGTTAAATGGATCTTGCACCACACTGAGTCTGTAAGGGCCAGTTGGGGCAGCTCCTACTGCCCCGCGGGACAGAGGAGACCTCAACCCACACCAGCCAGAGCCCTGGCACAAAACTGGCACCCACCTAGAATGGGTCACGAAGTCATAGGCTGGCACCTCCACGGTTTTCCCCTCAACAATATTTTTCAAGGTTGTATGCATCAAATCATTATCAAAAGCATCTGCAAGAGGAAGGTAAAAAGAGGTAATTCAGAGTTTGCTACAGCACAAGTTCTGCTCAAGTCTTTTCTATGCCTGAAAGAAGTTGCCTGTCAACTATTCCACCTTGGGAAAGGAACTTCTGGCTTATTCTTTCCAGCAACACTCCACCACCCTCTCCATCTCCAAACTATAATTGTTCTATTTGGTTACAAAACTCAAGGGAGAGAGAATTTGTCATTTACAAGCAACAACAGTACACTGAAATATCCCAAATGCGACGTTGCCTTTCTTACCTCTTGGCAATTACATGATTTATTTGTATGTGTCTCTTTTAGATTGCTGGTGAAGGGTATTTGAGAAAAACCTCAGACATTTTCAAGGCTATTTGGGAGAGGCCCCACAGCAGGCACTAAACTTCGGACAAGGACAGGTCACTCTCCCATTTGCCACTGTGGCACTTCCCGGAGTACTAGGAGCAGTTGTTTGCATGGAAAAGAAACACCAGGAAAGACCTTGGAGCTCTATATAATTTTTTCTGCGGCACCTGTGCACACAGAGCACCGTGCACGTGGGCACACGCTCAACCATCACCCACAGAGCTGCAGTAAAAGGCATTTAGTGCCTGCAGCAAAACAAGTTTCAGGATTTCCTGATGGTGGCCGCATGTATCCAACTTAAAGACACAATCATTGAGGGGAAAACCATTTCTGTCCTTTCCAGCTTAGATATGCGGGTTGTCTGACGCTTCTCGTGTTCTGCAGACCCTTTCAGCAAACCCCAGCTGGTCTCCAAACACGACTGCCCTGTGCATTTGCTAAAAACAAAGCTCACAAGTGGGAGGAAGAGGCTCGTACGGCTTTAGCCCCAGCAGGACATGGCCACAGGGAGCCTCCTCCCCATCTCCTGGCATCTGCACATCCCCATAACGGAGTTGCTGGAAATTTGCTCCCGGATGGGCTGGCGGGCTCGTAGCTCATTGAGTACAGAGAGACCCTGCTGCTGGCGTTGACAACGGTGGCACCTGGGGAGGCTGCTGTCCTCACCCAGGCTGCTTTCAACCTGGCAACCTCCCGGATCAGCAACTGTGTCGCAATAGCCCGTTCCTACGCGCTGAAAGTCTGGAAATGCTTTGCAAAAACCCCCATTTCTGCTCAAAACCCGGCAGCCGGCCACGGCTTTACCTGGGTGGTCGAAGTTGTACTGCCCCTTGAGCGCCTTGGCCTTCTGCTCGGCCGTGAGCACCTTGTAGAAGCGGTCCTGGCTGAGGATGAGCACCTTGCGCTGCTT